ATGGGATCAGGACACGGAACAAACCAGCCCAAGCGTTTATTTCCTATGATGTTTATTTTAAAAATAAAGTTGGACTGTTCCCTGCAGCCCCCACGGGGATGCAGGATGGGGGGAGATGGATCCGCGCTCTCCGTGGGGAATATTCCACCTGTACCGGATTCCCTATGCATCCGCATTCCCAGTGGAGGCAGAGACCAGCGTAGGACCTGTTTGCAACAAGCATCTCCAAACGGATCAGACTCTGGATTGGGCCAAGCCCAGCCCCGAGTGTCTGTAACCCCGGGAAGGCAGAATCTGGTACACGTGGTGCCAGCACGGCAAAGGAATCCCGAGAAAAGAGAGTTGGGAATTTCATGGCACCGTTCATCTGCAGCTGGGGGGGAGGGGGAAAAAAACTCTCCCAGGGGAGATTTCTCATGGGGAAGCAGAGATCATCCCTGGAGCGATGTCAGCTACGGAGACCGGGAGTTTGAACAGAGGGAAGTGGGGAGAGCGGACGGACACGGCCCGGGAACACGGCCCGGGAGCGTGCCAGGAGCGCTCACATCTTGGGGAAGCTGGCAAGGTTGGCGATGCCGCAGGCGTTGTTCATGTTACGTGCCAGGAGGACGTAGCCCTTGTTGCCCCACTCCTCACCCCAGCTGTGGGGAGAAAAGGCAGAGCCTGAGCCACTGGCAGAGCCACCGGTAAAGCCTGACCCGGTGAAACGCAGCCCCGCTGTCCCCACCGTACCTGTTCTTGATGATCCAATGCTTGGTGCCCTTCTGCGTGCCGTAGCCCACCGCCAGCACCGCATGGTTGATGTTTTCAGCGTTGCAGCTCTCATCATAGTACACACCTGGGGGACAGGATGGACGGTTACACTCAGGATAACCCCCCCCGGCTGGGCCTCAGTTTCCCCAAGCTACCCCGCAGCCGCCAGTAGGCACCTGAGGAGGTTCCCCAGCCCCTCACCACGGCTGTAGAACTGGAAGGAGGGCAGGCTGGCATCGATGCCCACAGAGATGGGTCCAATCCTGGCCACCGCTCTCTTCAAAGCCTTCTCATTCCCTTCAGGGATTTCGCGGTAGCCGCGGCATTTGGCCGCTTTCCCAGTAGGGCTGTACATGCAGCTCTCGTCCTGTGTGGGACCAGCAAGGTCAAGGTGAGATGGGGATGGGAGGATGGTCAGTGGGGGAGAAGATGGAGACCTGATCACCCCCCTCCCAGCCGATGTAGGGGTAGGCATCCTCCGAGTCGATGCCGCGGTTCTGCCGGACGTACTCGAAGGCGTTGGTCATGTAGCCGCCGCCACAGCCGTCGTTGTTGGCCACACAATCCACCAGGTTTTGGGGGCTGAGGGACAGCAGCTTCCCCATCTTCCGCTTCAGCTGCCCCTCCAATCCCACCCACTGAGCTGAAAGCCCAGCAGGAGCCACACTGGCCCTGTGGGGACACAATGGGTGACACCAGGGTGCCACTCCGTTCTGGGAACCCCCAGGAGCACCCTGCTTACCTGGTTCTTGACGGGTGTCACGTAGCCTTTCCTCCTCCAGTCCACAGCAGCCGGGGCTCTCTCAGTCCAGTCAGGGACGTAGAGGGTCTCATTGCGGCGTGGGTGGCCACGAGGCACTTTCAAGCCCGTCATTGTCCTCACCACCTCCTCGCTGGTCTGGGGAAGGACCCAGGGGTGGATGAGTGCAGCCCTTGGGCTGGGGGGCAGAGCAGCGCCCAAGGGTGCTCAGTTCCCCTCTCAAATAGCCCATAAATGTCCCTGCGGTGATGCTCACCATGTCACCCAGGTGGTTCATGGCCAGCTCGAAGGTGTGGACGCCCAGCGCGTGCTCCAGGTTGTGGCTGGTGTTGTACTTAAGGTTCTTCTCCCAGATCAGCCTCCGCGTCACCTCATCCGCCTGCACCACGGGGTGAGACAGCACTGAGAGGAGGGATCCTGCCCATGACCCCACCACCACCACCATGGGGACACCCCCAAGGACACCAGCACCATGGGGACATCACCAGGGTTGTCCCCAGTAACCCTCCCGCGGGGCTCTGCCGTACCTCGCCGTTGTACTGCTTGCGATAGGTTTTCTTCCATAGGTCCCACTGGGCGTCCAGCTCCGGCTCAGGGTGCAGCTGGGCCACTGTCGTGGGGACCAGCAGGGCCAGCAGCGTGGGCCACCACATCCTGGGGAATGGGGACAAAGACTGAGCCTGGGAGAGCTGGATGGGGAATGGGACCCTGTGCCCATGACTTTGTCCGGCTATAGGGGACTGGGACCCCACACAAATCCCAGTACTGGGCTATAGGGGACTGGAACCCCACATCCATCCCAGTACTGGGCTATAGGGGACTGGAACCCCACATCCACCCCAGTACTGGGCTATAGGGGACTGGAACCCCACATCCATCCCATTTCCAGGTTATGGGGACCCCCTGCACCCCATTACTGAACCACGAGAGATGGGGACCCCACACCCACCCTGTTAATGGGCTGAGGGAGACCAGAACCTCGTACCCACCCCATTAACAGCCTATGGGAACCAGCACCCCCTGCTCACCCTGGTTTTGGGCCAGGACCCCACCCCAATTTGGAGTCAGGAACCCCTGCCCACCTTGTTTTGGGGCCGGGACCCCATGCCCACC